CTTGGTATTTGATTTCAGGATTACTGTAAACCTTTTGGTACAGTCACAAGCAATATAATATATATATAGATAGATAGATAGATAGATAGAAACATGATTTCACACAAAAAACCCAAATAAAATCTCAAGTATAGTCTCGCGCAAGTATCAAAGACACCTCAAATAAAGTCTCAAGTAGTCTCCAGTGCAATCTCAAGTAAAGTAACTCTTAAACACTCTACTACAGAAACAGCAACATATCGATTGAAATCCTCCAGCGGAAAGACCCCATTCATAGCCAAATCATCACAATCCACAACCACACACATCCAAAAAAGAACAAAATCAATCGAAAAAAAATGCAAAACAAACATATTTTTCATCATGCATTAAAACATGCAAAATTTTACTAACGTTAGTAAAATCATTTACTAACATTAGTAAAATTTTACTAACGTTAGTAAATTTTACTAACGTTAGTAAAATTTTACGTAAAATAACGTTAGTAAAACAGTCGATTTTACGTAAAATTCAGGGCGAGTAAAATGACTAACTTTCGAGACTTAGGGAGCAGCCGCAGCCACGAGAGCATACCGATCAGGTAAGGAGCCATGGCTGGTTGCATTGGACGTCAGGGATGCGTTCCTGAACATCCCCGCAGGAAAGGACAAGGCGTTCACTGTGGCAGCCAAGCCGGGGGCGGACGGACTGAATCAGGTCATCGTCTGTGACACGCTGGTGTTCGGCGCAAAGTCGTCGCCAACGATCTGGGGCCGCTTCGCGTCATTGTTGGGGCGCTCATGGGCTTCGATCGAGCCGGCGGTGCGGGCACAGATCTACGTAGATGACCCGGCAATGGTGATCGAAGGCTGCAAAGAAGAGGCCATCTCTGCCCTTACGAACATTCTGCTGTGGGCGGGGGGTGTCCTGGGCTTCCCTCTCAAACTCAGCAAAGCCGAGGGTGGAAAGGCCATCCGATGGATTGGGGCCATCATCAAACTGCATGACGACAGCAAGGAAGTGGAGGTGACGATCCCTCTCGAAAGGAAGAAGAAACTCCTCGAAGCCGTTAGAGAGGTAGCGAGCAAGCCCATAGTGTCGAGAAAGGCATTGGCTTCGCTGGCAGGAGGACTCTCTTTCGTCGCAGGTCTAGTGCCACATCTGCGACCCTTCTTGGATTCGTTTGGTGGCATCACGAATGACGGAGCCAGTGCGCATTCCGGAAGGCTGATCCACGTCCGGAGGATCGAAAAGGCGCTCCAATGGGTGGCGGCACTCCTAGGCGAAAGAGAGGTTCCGCTAGTGCGGATTTTCAAAGTGGCCCACCCGGAGGTGACGGCCGAAATCACCACGGACGCCTCTCCTTGGGGGTTAGGCGGAGTCCTGCGCCTTAACGGAAACATAGCAGGAGCGTTCGCAGAGCAACTATCTGCCGAGGTCCTCAACAAGTTCAACGCAGTGAAAGGCGACCCGAAACACACAACGCTTTGGGAAGGCCTGGCGCTGCTGGTAGCTTTCAGGCTGTGGCTCCCTGGACTGGGCTTTGGTGCCGTGGTCCGGGTGAAGTCCGATAGCCTGAGCTCCTTGTTGATGCTTTCAAAAGGAAAGGCGAAATCCTTAGAGCTGAACTGCATAGCTCGGGAGATCGCGTTGGACCAGGCACTCCAGTTGTACAGGCTGACCTTCCTAGGGTGCACATCCCGGGAGTCACAAACCTGGAGGCAGATTTTCTTTCTAGGATGTTTTCTCCGAAACCTCCAGTTAAGCCGAGGCAACTCGAAAGAGTCAGCTTAACGCCAGTCACCATTGGCGAGGGCTTCTGGAAGGTGAAGCGGTTGACACAACCAGCTCGGAAAAATCTTGCGGCGGGAGCTGGTGGGAGAACATACCGGCGGTTTCCCCTGGGTCAGGGTTTGTCCACTCAGTCTGCCGCAGATGGGGAGGTTCAAGCGTTCCTTACAGGGGGAGGACCGTATGTCCGGCCCACTCTCCCCCCGCCGAAAAGGGCGGGTGTTTTGCACGAAGGGTTTGCCATTGCACCCGCCTTGCAACACGCTCTTGGGGAGTCGCCCGTTCCTGCTCCGGCCCTCTCGGAGCCCGGGAGGGCAGGCGAACCAAGAGGATACGGCCGAGGCTCAGCAGCCATGGCGTTGGCGGCCGTCGGTGACCCAACCGCTTGCATTGCACGGATTTGGGACGACGCTAGTGCTAGTTCCTCCAGGGGCCCGTTCCAGTCCAGGAAACAACTCTGGGAGAGCCTGGCGCGAAAGGCAGGGGCACAAGACCCCTTCTGCCTGACTCCGAATATCATATTCACGGTCATGGGTGCATTGAAAACCGCAGGGTACCGCAGTGCAGAGCAGTATTTAGACGTAGCAAAGGCGATCCATGTGTCTTTGGGACACGGCTGGACAGAACAGCTAGCTCAGGCGAGAAGGCTAGCCATAAGAAGTGCGCGCAGAGGCCTAGGTCACCCCAAACAAGCAGGAGGTCTCCCTCTCGCCAGTTTGGGGAATTGGGCCAACCAGCAGGAGCCGCTGGCAGCAGAAGGCCCAACATGGCCGGCGAGAGCAGCCTTGCTGGCATCATGGTGGCTACTTCGCGAAATCGAGGCATCGCGAGCGAGGAAAAGCCACATCTGTCAGGACGTTGCGGAGCTCAGGATCACCTGGCGCCTTCCGTCGTCCAAGACGGACCAGGCGGCACTGGGTGCATACCGTTCTCACCGGTGCTCCTGCGAGTTTGCCCCCTCGAGCATTTGCCCGTACCACCTAATGGCAGCACAGCTTGAGTCCTGGCCCCCAGGTGATGGCAAGCATTGGCTGCCAGGTTGGGTTTGGCAACTCACCACCCTAACGGTGCTAGGGCTTACACCGGCCATAGCGCCCGAGTGACGGGAGCAAGACACCTAGCATCGACCCAGGTAGAACTCTGGAGGGTCCAACTGTTTGGACGATGGGGCTCAGAAGTGTTTGTTCATTACATCCAGGAGGCGCCATTGGCACAACTGGACTCTTTGGCATTGGAAGCGTCCGCCAAGATGTCAATCCAGGAGGCCAAGCTCCAGCTACAGGACCTGCTGCGGCGCTCTTCCGAGATGCTAAATCACCCAATTTCGTCTTCCCCGTCCGACATGTTAGAGGACTGCGAAGCTGGGATGGACCCCGCTTCTCCCCAGATGCAGGTCACGGAGGAGCTAGTCCTCAACCTGAATGCCGGGGGAAAGTTGCATCGCCCACTGATCAGCAACATCGAAGATCACCCTCGCGTTTGGCGGACAAAGTGTGGCCGGCGCTTCGGAAACACCCACACTGATTATGAGTGGATCAAATCAGAAGAGGACATTCCGGCCCAAGCCCGTAAATGCTCCAAGTGTTTCCCAAGTTTAAAGCGCACCACCTCTTCCAGCAGCTCATCTTCTTCTTCTTCGTCCACCTCTGCGGATCCCGCAGGTGGGAAGAATTAGAGTCGGACGAAGTGTGTCAAGTGGCACCGAATGCTGCTCTGGCTGTGGATGGAGCTGAAAGCCCATGACCATAACAGAGCAGCGACAAACATCGTCCAACCTTACAAAAGAGCTCGCAGAATTGGAGGGTGGTGGGGAAATGCGAAGCCTACTTGTCATGAGAATTTCAGTGGCCGTCCCAGAAATCGGTAGCTACATCGTATGTATTAAATTTTAAACAAAATAAATACATACATAAATAAAAATGCATACATAAATAATTAAATACATAAATCAATACATATTGATGTAAATAAACTCTTGGAGAGGGCGATGGAGAGAGATATTAATTAATAAGTAATAACAACAAACACAAAACACATATCATATATGTACCTAAATGATCCTAAATGTGCATATGGTATGGGTATTTTCACTTTTACTATACGGACAAGACATATAAATGTCGAACATGGTTTTCTTTTCTTATGCGCAAATGACAATGAAGAAATACAGAGCGAGAGAGAGAGGGACATGAAGATATAGTTCATCGCAAAAGCTACCTTCACAATGGTAAATACATAGTCAGATTATGTGGCACTATGTCGGGCAACCAGGAGTTGGATAGATAATTAGGTAGACACACAGATAATGAGGTGCCACACCTTTCCCGTGGTGGGAATCAGTGCTTCCATGAGGTTGGAACACCCGCGGTTTCTTGACATTGCAACGCTGGATGTGAGTGGCCGTACGGCCCTTCACATTGCTGCACAAAATGGCCATGCAGATGTTTGCAAAGTCGGAGGCTCGGGTGGGGAGTTTTGCATAGCGATGGACATTTCCCTGGCTGTGGCCTATTTCATGCCAAGTGGTTTTGGGATGAAACTCTCCAGCTCGAAGGTTTGATGCTCGTGCAGCCCTTTCGGTTTTCAAGATCTGTCAACATTGTGAAGTCGCAATCAGCTTTGCATTCGTCCCAGAATTGATGAAAGGAACATCAAGAGGACCCCCCCCCTAATGATTTTGGATGGTGATTAAGAACATTCAAACATGCATGTTTTGGGCTAAAACTTCCCTAGATCAATCCAACTTTAAGAACGCCTGAGCCCTGCATGGCATCATTGCCCGCCTGTGCTATTGTATGCGGCAAACCAGGCAGGAACTGGAATGCAAATCAATACAATATAGATCATATTATATAGATCAAACATTGAAACGGCACGCTGTCACTTCCAATGGCATGATTTGCATGTTTTCGTTCCACTTTGGACTTGTGAGCGTCTCCGAGTAGGTTGTTTTAGTCTCTGGTAGTTGGCTTACCCGGAGGTATAGCCCCACATTCCAGCGGGTCTTAAAATTCTTAAATCGTTTTCCTATGGGGAAAAGGATATTTTTAGGATGACTCTACCAGCCAGTGCACTGGCAGGTGGACGATTTGGAGCCGAGCCCAGGGCTTAGCCTCAGAAATGTCACGAGTTTTCAGTCCTCCAACATATTAATTATTAAACACAAGTAGACATTGCCAGCCTTTGCATGATTTTCTGGCTCTAGAGACTCTTTTGTTGGCTTCAACCATCATGAAGCTATGTCCAATCAAGCCAGACAGCATCCATGACTAGACATCACCACACTGACCCATATCAATTGCACTTGCGATTTTGACGGCCCAAAGGGTTCATTATGGTTCATTGAGATGAAGCCAGTTTGCTTAATCATCGGCGCCGGTGCCGGCATTGGTGGCTGTGTTGCCAAACGCTTCGCAGGCGGTGGCTATCACGTGGTATTGTCCAGGAGATCGGATCAGGATGGCCTGGATCGATTGATCAAGGAGATCCAACAGCAAGGTGGTTCCGCCACTGGACGTTTGGCCAATGCAGTGGAAGCCGGTGTCATTGAGAACTTGGTGACCGAAGCAGCTGAAATTGGACAGATCGAGGTGCTTATTTTCAACTTGGGGGCTCAAATTGGAACAAGAACCTTAGCTCAAACATCTCTGAAACAATTTGAGCTGGGCTGGCGGATGGCATGCCTGGCACTCTTTCGTGCAGCGCAAGCAGCAATGCCAAGCATGGTCAAGAATGGAAAAGGCTGTTTTCTTGTCACGTCCTCCACAGCTGCCGTGCGCGGGAATGAGGGACAGCATGCCCATGCAGCAGCGATGGGTGGCAGGCGCATGTTGTGCCAGACGTTGAATGCAGAGTTTGGGCCCAAGGGCATTCACGTGGCCCACATTGTGGTGGACGGAGCTGTAGATGCCCCTGATACACTTGGCAAGCTGATTGGGCCAAAGAACTTTGCCCAGTTGCGTGACACCGTCGGATCCAGAGATGGCTTGCTGGATCCCAATCAGATTGCCGAAAGCTACTGGCACTTGGCCCATCAACATCGGTCTGCCTGGACACATGAGATGGATCTGCGGCCATGGTCAGAGCTGCCATGGTGGAATGATAAGCCACTGCCCACCGCAAAGATTTAAATGGATTGCAGTGATTGCAGTGGAGAAAAGCGGCCGTAAGAAATGCACTAGATCCTCTGTCCCCCAGAGCATTGTTCCATTTACTAGGGATTGAAAGCTGGCCAATCAGTCAGCGACGTTGAAGTACTAGATGGGTGTTGTTGAATATCGCCTGCGGGCAATCATGTTGGAGAACATGCCAAGTCATCCTATGCCAAATGTGTCGCATAAGTCTTCATTAGGAAACCAGAAGAACATATGAATGATGCAATGACCCATCAAACATCATCAAGATACCGAAGGTTTCCCAGGTGTATCCAGGTGTGGGGAGAGATCCATTGGTTCCAGCTTGGTCCTGTGTCTTCAAGCTCAGGTCGCAGCCCCTCGGTGCCTGAGGTGACCTGTGAGAGTTTCACTCCTATTTTCGCACTGGCATCCGAGAGACTTCAAAAAGTTGATCCTTGTTTGATCAGTTTGATCATTGTTTGATCTGCACCCCTCCATTGTGAGTTTGGGAGAAGAAACCATCAGAAGAAAAGTAACCAAGAGGCTCCACTCCTTTCGCCTTATGCCTGGGTTTGCCGCTGCCCCCAGTTGCAAAACACACCGTCAATCTTTGACATCGAGGATCAAATCGAACCAAGTTGTTACCTGGCCCAAACTCAGTCTGCAGGGGGGACAAGGCCTTCCTATCAGATATGGCAAATTCACGAACTTAATGCATTGTTCAAGGGGGTCTTCAACTGAACTCCAGATTGGGTTCTTTAGTGCGACAAGCAGTGCAGCAAACTTCAGTTGACCTGAATATGAAACTTCTTGGGGTACCATTGCCACCCGCAGCCATGGCACCCAATCCTGCAAGTTTGGATGACGACTATTCCTACCATCAAACCAAGTCCGTCGAAGCCAGATCTGAGGCAAAAACTGAGGCGGGATTGCAGGATCCAGTTGGAGGACCTCATGATCCTTGATGGGAAGTTTTTTTGATCTTTTTGGATCATGGTCTTTATCACCCCTCGACCCCCTCGACCTGATCATGGTGGGATGACAGGTAGGATACCGTAGGATGGGTGACTCGGACTCGGACTGGAGGCATGAGACCCAGCGCTTGGCGGCCCTGTCAAAAAGGGGCTTGTGGATAGAGGCCTTGCAGATCTTACCAGATTTGCTGCTTGGCTGTTGACTGATGTTGACTGATGTTGACTGATGATGACTGATGTTGAATGGTATAAACGATGTTGAAGGGTGTTGCAATGTGTTGCATGCTTTCAAAGATCCTTTCGTGCCTACTTCTGCACACTACCGGCAGGCAAATTCAAGCCAAGTCGCATCAGGTATCAGAGGTCTTGTCGCTTGAATTTGAGATAGTTGGAACATTTTGAAACAAAACATGTAGCTGGATTCTGAACCCACCAGCCACGAGATTGCACGAAACTTGTGTTTTTCATGGCTCGTTTGTTCTGCCACCTGAGGCTATCAGCCGGCTTGAAGCTGGATTTGATCTTCCGCCATCCAGTCTTTGCTTGAGATATCTTGAGCTTTGTGTTAGTTTTGCGTTTGTTTTATTTATAGTTATTTAAGGTTTTTTTTGTTCATCTTTGGTTTCATGGTTCAGGATGCCATTCTGGCTTCTTGCACAAAGTCCCCGATGGAAGCAACATGCCCTCACAGCACTTCCTCTTCCTTCGGTAGAAGGGGAAACGATGAAACAAATGAGGACTGTTGGTTTTGTTGAGATATGTCACTGGAAGGGAAGAACACGATAACAAGCAGTTCACTGCATAACATGAACTATATAAATTATATATATATTATTATTATATTATGTATAATCACAGAGACATCAACGAGCAACACATCTGCAAACCACAGCAAATCAAATTGCATTCCAACATCACGATTAATTATCATGGGAAGCAAAAGACAGCTACTGTACCGAAGGAACGGTGCTGATTTGTACCGATTCTCGACATGTTCCTGCACCCGCACAAACACAATCATCTATGTACACTGACATATTCAAAATGTGACCCTTACAATCATCAAAAAGGCTTCAATCAAGTGGGATAATACCATTTTAATCAATCCATTTCAGATTTCAAAATCGGACACTTAGCTATGCAACACTTCAAACACCATTGATAAATGAATGGTAACCTTTTACATCTTCCAAACATTTTATTTGTTTAACAAATCAAGCCAGTAGCCACGATCCCATTGGGTTTTATTCGGCGACCACATCGCCCCGAGGCAACGCTCACCTCAACAGCCTCACGCGTGCCACGCGTGTCACGGCACTGTGGCCTCGGGCCTTGCAGCTGGTGGATGGCATCCAAGGGGCGGCCTTGGAGCCGAGTTTGCCCACGAAGAATGTGCCCCTCAGGGCCGAAGGACCGAAGGGGATGGATGGTGATGGATGATCCATGATCCATGATCCATGGGTGATGCATTTTTTATCATTTTTTGTTCCCGATGGACTTGTTTTTTTGGTTGTAACTGAGTTGTAACGACTTTTTCGACGTGTTATTTCTTCGACTTCACCGCTTCGCATTACCTTTGTATCCTTTGTGATATGCATGTATTCCCCTCAGCTGGAAGCAGCTGAGATTCGCTGAGATTGGCTAAGGTGCTGATTGGCACCTTGGGATCTCAACGTCAGCTGCCCATGGCCTTGAAACTGTTGAAGGAGCTGCCAAAGCGCAGCTATCGTTGTGATGCCTTCAGCTACTCTCAGGCAGTGAAGGCCTGCGAAGGTTTGGCGGAAGCCTGGCAGGAACCCCTGGAAATTCTGGAGATGATGAAGTCATCTGCAGTGACTTTGGGTGAGGTGACCGTGGGGGCACTTCTGAGCACCCAAAGTAGCAGCAACAAGGCGGGTCTCAGCAATTCTTGGGGAAGATCCGCTTTGTACATGGCTTCCATGGCACAAGTTGCCATAGAAGCAAATGTCATCATGTTCAACTCCTTGATGGGAAGTTTTGGCCAAGACCAATGGATGGAATCCGTGCATGCGATGGACGACATGGCCTCCAAGTTTTTGAGGCCCAATGCTTTTCTATATAGTACTTTGCTGAGTTGCTGTGTGCAAGCCGCAAAGTGGACGAATGCGCTAAGCCTTTGGCTGGATGTTGCTTCTCGTTCCAGAGATGCCTGGGGTTGCCGAAAAATGGGCATACCGGCATACCACCCAAATGCATAATGATTATATACATGTACAATATGCATCATTTTCAACCAAATCCACATCTGTTTTTCTAGGCGCAGCTTTTGTGGGGAAATGGATAGCTTTCTGATGCTTTTTCTTTGTGACTGTCCAGCTGTTTGCCCCAGCCTGCCAAGGTTGTTGACGAGAGGAGACAGAAAGATGAGCAAGCGAAGCTGAAGCTGAAGCCAGATGTCATCATGTACAACAGCGACTTGGTGACTATCACTATCACATACTATCACCTTCTTCAATGTGTCTGACACTTTTTCCATTTTTTCCCGAGAGCGCCTGCGAAGGGTTCTTCGTAAAAAAGCAGCCGTTATACTACATCTTCACACCTTCACATCTGCTGATCTACATCTTCACACCTTCACACCTGCAGATCTAGATCTTCACAACTTCACACCTGCAGATCTAGATCTTCACACCTTCACACCTGCAGATCTAGATCTTCACACCTTCACACCTGCAGATCTAGATCTTCACACCCTCACATCTGGACATCTAGATCTTCATACCTTCACACCTGCAGATCTAGATCTTCACCCTCACACCTGCAGATCTAGATCTTCACACCCTCACATCTGCAGATCTAGATCTTCACACCTTCACATCTGCAGATCTAGATCTTCACACCCTCACACCTGCAGATCTAGATCTTCACACCCTCACACCTGCAGATCTAGATCTTCACACCCTCACATCTGCAGATCTACATCATCACATCCTCACATCTGCAGATCTACATCTTCACACCCTCACATCTGCAGATCTACATCATCACACCCGCACACCTGCAGATCTAGATCTTCACACCCTCACACCTGCAGATCTAGATCTTCACACCTTCACATCTGCAGATCTCTTCTCGCTCTTCTTCTATTCTCTCTTAAGGCGGGGGCGGTGCCGCCGGAGCGCCACGAAACGCAACCCTTTCGCACGAAATGGACGTTGGACGTCCAAAACCTAGGTAAAATTGCGATTTTGAAGCGTCGCCGGCAACCCTTTCGCACGAAATGGACGTTGGACGCCAAAAACTGAGGAAAAATTGCAACTTTTATTGTCGCGCGCAACCCTTTCGCACGAAATGGACGTTGGACGTCAAAAACTGAGGAAAAATTGCAACTTTGAGGTGTCGCGCGCAACCCTTTCGCACGAAATGGACGTTGGACGTCAAAAACTGAGGAAAAATTGCAACTTTGAGGTGTCGCGCGCAACCCTTTCGCACGAAATGGACGTTGGACGTCAAAAACTGATGAAAAATTGCGACTTTACTTTGTCAATCGCAACCCTTACGCACGAAATGGACGTTGGACGTCAAAAACTGAGGAAAAATTGCGACTTTACTTTGTCAATCGCAACCCTTACGCACGAAATGGACGTTGGACGTCAAAAACTGAGGAAAAATTGCGACTTTACTTTGTTATTCGCAGCCCTTATGCACGAAATGGACGTTGGACGTTAAAAACTGAGGTAAAATTGCCATGGACGCTTTCGTTTGTGTAAAAGTGCCTGTGTGTAAAAGCGTCTGTGTGTAAAAGCGTCTGTGTGTAAAAGCGTTTGTGTGTGTGAAAGTGTGTGTGCGTGTGTAAAAAGCGTCTGCGTGTAAAAGCGTCTGTGTGTAAAAGCGTCTGTGTGTAAAAGCGTCTGTGTGTAAAAGCGTTTGTGTGTGAAAGCGTGTGTGCGTGTGTCAAACTCATGAGTGGCATTCTCAGTTTGGAACGCAGCGAACAAATCCTTTGCAGTGGATTGTGCAACTCTGCAGCGACAAGCATAGTTTACCTCTTTACCTCTTTCCTTGGCTCAGATGTGAACGTAGAGACAAGATGCATTGTGTACAGAGTGAACATCCATAT